TATTAACTTGTAATCAATTCATAAACGATGTGTGAAAGAAAATATTTTGAAAATAATAAAATGATTCATTAAATTTTTTGATACTAAGAAAACCAAATTATTGATAAATTCATAGATAACAACAGTTAAACTGTTAAGAAAGTGAAATGAGGGTTTCATTGCTTATAAAATGGTTCTCTTCTGCTTATCCACTTTTTTTTGTTTTCTCAATTTCCTACAATCAGAGACCACCACACTTCATCGCAGATTCTTCTGCACACTTCAAAAGCGTTGAACCAACACTTCTTTTCTTGTTGTCGAGATCATACTGAAGTGTTATTTCCTTTTCCAGGTGAGTTTCGTGGCCTGGCAGAGTTCAAAGAAGTTGAGTAAGTACTTTCCATTTTCTCTGACGTTTACACCTTATGAACATAATTAAGCTTTTCCTGGCAAGAAAGTAAGTTAAAGCGGCCAGTCACTCCGCCTTTCCTCACTCAAACAGAAAAAAAAGGATCCTTTCGTCAGAGAGAGGTAGGGAACGGTTCGGAGAGGAGTTTGGAAAAATTTACCTTCTCCTTTTCGTTCGTATTTCCTAACATCACAAATGACTATTCATATAAGTTTACATTTAGTTTGCAATGTAATTTTATTTTTCTTTAGTTATTTTTAATGTGGCACGAATTTTCTTCTCCATTTATTATTTGAGTAACAAAGAGTGTGCGTATGTGCATTTGGCCGTGCATTCGTCACTCAAGACCCCTCCCCATGCACCAATCGAAACATGAAGTGTTATCGACGCGTCTCGGTCTCCTGGTGAGGAAATGTCACTTTGTTTTCGGATCAGGCAAGAAATTCTAAGAAATATCCAAATACGTGAATTGAAAGTTTTAGCGCTACGATCTTATTGGGCAGATCAAGAAATAAACTACCATAACTTCAATAGATCTATGTAGGTGACTCCAGAACCCAGGGACGATTTTCCTCCCCGACGGCATAATTTTCTTCCATGACGATGGTAACACTGATTGCTGTGAAACAAGTGAATCGCACGGAAGAAATGTCAGTAGTGATGCTGTTTTGAACATAAGAAGTGAAGTGTTTCAACCGTATTTTAATAATAAATTTGCAAACGCCTGCGTACTCTTACGACTTATTAAATTTGAAGAATCCCAAATGAATACGAAGAAAACCAGAACTGTGAGTAATGTTAGAGATTGAAAACACATCCGTAATCGACTTTACACACTTACATTCTAAAAAGTGAAAATGCCAACTTTAAAATGAATATAAATTAGTCTTATTAAACTTAAATTACTCCTTATGAGTATAAACATACAAAACCGTCGCCGTATATCGTTTACATAGATTCGCCTACAAAACGGTTAATATAGCAATTGTGAAAGTAAAAATCAACACAAATCATATTGAGATTGTAGAGTTTTAAGCTCTTAAAAAATTATGGAACAAAAGTATAAAAGTGTTAAGCAATTTTGGCGAAGAGTCACATGAAATTGTAGAAAAAGTTTGCGACAGAATTTTGGAACTATTTGAGATCTTGTATTAGGTCACCAGTCTTCTTTTAGTATTAGAGAATAACGCAGAAGAAAAACCTTATAGATCTTTTATGTGCATATTAGTAAAAAAGGGTACAAAATGTAACTGTATTAAAATCCAATTACTCGCCTCATCTATACGTGGAAGTACTTTTTACGGCGATTAGTTTTGAAATGGCAATATTATCAGTTCATATCCCGTATGGAGGTAATATTTAATTTCATTAGGTGTTAGGAATTTATGAACGGAAGTATAAAAGTATTAGCTACTTGTACTACGATTCATTGGGAAGTTCAAGGTCAGATACTGTAAGTACTTATTTGAACCAAGCTATGCATAAAATTTAGCAATTTTCAACACATAAAAATACTTTTGAAATTGATTAATGCTTCGGCGAAGCCACATTCAGCAAGTAATCACATATTTCATTAAAAAGTATCTCGATTTTTATAAACCAACGTTTTGTTCAGTTTCTGATAAATCA